CTCTGTTTTTACAGGAATTAATCACTTAAATGTTTTAGGGCTTGATATCTCTGGGTAGTTGAGAGAGACCCAGCAGTTTAGAACAAAATTAATGGCAGCTAATTCATCTTAACTGTCATCAGTTCTTTCACAATGTTAAGGTAAGATATTTTATTTCTCAGACACGTTATTCAAGTTGTACTAATGGAGAGAGGGAAAAAAAATCAGTTTTTTCCCCATGAAAACCCAACCCCCCTCCCCCACTCTAAGAGGAGTATAACCTTGAAGGTTGACATTGCCCTTACATGCTATTTCACCACACTGGCACACTGCTATTAATGAAAATGGTGCACTTGTGTTTATGGAACTCTCACGGGGATTGAGCATAGACTCTCCAGACCAGCACTGTGGCTCATGGACTAGGGCGTGGCGAAGAGACATCACAGTGCACTTTAGGGACAAAAACAGGATTATTCAACAAACCTTGTTCAGGGATCAAAGGCAGACCCTCATAGCTGTGCGTGTGCCTGTTTAAACTTGAATGCTGTCGCATGTTTGAAATATGGGGCTAAAAAAATAACATCAGCCCTAACATACGTCAGACTCCATCAAGTACAGCTCAGCCTTACGGTTCTCCATGAAGTCAGGCACCTGATTCAGGAGCCCTCAAACGTTCCTGCGGTCGTCAAGAGAACGACGGAGCTGAGTGGCAGAGTGACAGCTGGCCCCGGGCTCCTCAAAGCACCATTGCAGGCGGGAGGCCATCACACATCAAGTGTTAAAGGGCAAGAAGGATTTTAAAGGCTAGACGTCAACAAAAGTCACCTGCATACCAGGCAACAGTTTCCGGGGTTCTAGAATGAAAAGCACTTCATAATCTGGAAGGCCAGATCCCTCACTGGATGGTTTTCATCCCGAAACCACTGTCTGCGTAACCAGCTCTGTCTGTGTACTTCCTGTGCTCATAAACATGCTAAACAGACCCTCACCTTCTGAAACTGCACACCACCAATGTGATTCAAAGAACCATCAGAGACCCTTTAAGTCAAAGGGTGGTAGTTTTGCTGGTAGCCAGAATGCAAGGTTTTGGGAAGATCGGCGCATCACCACATCATACTAAGACAGACAGACAACATACCGAGTTCATTTCTATAACAAGCAAGTAGCGACCAAAACGTTTGAAGTGAAATATCTTCAGCATGAAGTATCTCCAAATCACAAGTGCAGGTTGGCCGCCCTGCAGTTAAATTCGGCCGTGAAATGCTGCAGGTGTACCGCTATACCAAAATAGAGACTGTCGACATTTCCTTTCCCTGGGAGGCTAACCCAGGAATCCTGAAAGCACCCATGCGGGTCCTTAAAGGGCAGGCCGGAGAACTGGCCGACACAACCTTCCGAAAAATCGAGCCATTCTGACAGGGTGTCACGAACTCCTGTCAGCGATACCGCTGGTTTAAAAATACTTCCCTAAGTACAGCTACCTGACAGTTTATTGCTCAACCTATCATGCGCGAAAATACATTGTGTAAGTGACTAATGTGGAATGTATGAAGCAGGGTGCACCAGCTCCCCGACCTGCCCAAGCCTTGACCCTCCCTGCTGAAGACCCCAAAGTCAAACGTTTTTCCAAAAGGGGCAGAATCCACAAAAAAGAAATTCCAAAAGCAGAATCCAGTAAAGATGAGGAAAAACAACACCAGTTTCAAGAGGTGATCCCCCTACCCACACCAAATTACCTGCTCAACCCCAGGCAGCCCACCATCTGCAGTGGGCTAAGCCTGTTCGCCTGTAATCAGAAGGTCACCAGTTCAAACCCAGCCTCAGCACATCTGCGGGTCCTTGAGCAAGGCCCTTAACCCCCAACTCCCTGGGCGCCCCAACGGGTGGCTGCCCTTCGTGTACAGCTTACTCTACAAAGAGCAAGTTGAGGGAGGCGTAAAGACAATTTCCCCACGGGGATCAATAAAAGTATCAATTATTATTATTAACAATGGCCAGGAAGAAAAACAGATGCCCCCTAGTGGATGGAGTGTGTTACTGGAGGGTTACTACGCACCCGTCTGTCCTAAGACTGCTCCACAGGCTCACTGTGTATAGGGACCGCAAAGAAGGGAAACCCACACTTATGTAGAAACACACAGGAACATATGAAATACACCTATGCAGGAATTTGGTTTAATGTTGTTAAAAATTACTGTTTTTCAGGGGAAAAAAAGAGATGCGCATCCTTTAAATCATGAGCAGAGTACCTGTGTGCCAAGCTGCAGAATAAAATCTAATCCTTACTGGCAGTAATATAGAAAACATAAAGCTACTTACTATAGCTGCCAGACAGTTTTAACAGTATTTCCTTTTAAACAGGCATTCGCATATGTACTGAACTGATTCAGGTCATGGCCGTCCTGGATTGTTCCTTTCCTTGCGCCCATAGTCTCTGGGATAGGCTTCAGAATCCCTGCAACCCTGAATAAGATTATCTGTAAGTGGTTACAAGTATAAAAATCAACTAATGAACTGAATTGATGAAGTGCTTTACTCTAAGGACACTAGGGTGACCAGATAATCCATGTCAGGGAGGACACTCTGAGCTAGGACAGGAATTGTAAATTACCATTTCAATTAAACGGACCTGGATTTCACTTGAGCACTCAGCTCTTGCTGTGTGCTGATTGGTCAGTCTCCTATAATCATGCATGTGTCACTAATGCTAATGTGAAACAGCTGGATGAGTCTTTCAGTCAAGGAAACAAACCAGTCAAAGCACAAGAAGAGCTAAACTATTTAGCCGAGCACAGGAGCCTTTCAATTAGAAAGTAGTTTGTAAAACCCGAAGTAGCTCAAAGTGTCCTCCCTGACATGGATTGTCTGGTCACCCTAAAGGACACCCTTATATATACTTACAACTGACATGGCAGTGATTTAAAGAGTAGACTGTGCACTTCTGTGGAGGTGACATGAGATGAACACTGCCACCTTTGGGTGGGAGGTCCACAGAACACTGCAGGGCCACCTAGGCGGCCTTACATGCTCAGACTAGCAGCTTCAGAGATTTAATTCAATCCCATTTCATTCCATTTTACCCTCCTCCATCCTTAAGGTGTCTTTGAGCTGATTTTTTTCCCGTCTGGCACCGAAACTTCAAAGAGTTTCTTGTAAACGTGGTGTAAATCACAAAGCTTCATCCCTCCACCAGTGCAGCACTCTGAAAATTTTTACGGGCTTGATTTTTGTTCTCTGATGAAGCCCCGGATAAATCACAAAACTGTCACGGTTTGCGCATCTACGCAAAATCTTGTTTACCTTAGATTTTCGATGTGTAACTAGCCCCGTTAAAATGTCCCTTACAGAGTAATGGAATTGCCTGAGACGGATCCCATCTGAGCCACACAACGTCAGGACAACACCCGTGAGAGGCAGTTTGTGTGAACAGAGCTGTGTGTTGAATACGACCGGAGGTGCACTGCATTGTGGGTAATCGCTTTGACTTCCATTAGACATGACAACACCCTGTGTTGCCTCAACACCACAGATTGGAATCCTGGTAGTTACCTTATAATAAGTGTTATTGGGCTTCAATGTGCCGGCCCCTGTCACACAGCTGCAGGTGAGGCTTAGCGGGGCCGATTGTTCCCTGGATTTAGTGAGACAGGTCACGACGGGCCCCCATGTGACATGCAGACGCACTAATAGTCTGTGTGTGTAACCGCTGTCCCACAAAGGAGCAGAGTAACAGCAGGTGACACCTGCAGCAGGGAGCCGGTCCGGCTTCCTCTTCTTCGAGCTTGAGAGGGACCCGACAGTTTGGGAGGTTCTGGGAAGGGGGCCGGCCTCACAGGTGTGACCTCTGGCGTGTGGGCCGCTGTGGGGCGGTGCCGTGTTCCTCTCGAACACGATGTGCGTATGTTCCGGGTCAGTGACCACGCCACCCGCCAGCGAGAGAGAATAAAAACTGAGGGGGGGGGACAGACAGGATGGCAGAAAGTGGACGTCCGTGAAAATCAGATACTGAGGAACTCTGGGAAGAAGGGGGTGTAAAGCCACACACAGCCTGCCTTCCCGGCCCGATGTCCCCCCCCTCCAACTTGCTTTCATCCACACTTACCTCTAATTGGGTGTCTTTGTGTCTGAGACCCTCTCTGATACCATCAACTGTTCCCGATCCGCGGCTCTCTGAAAGGAGGGCACTTACCCACAAGAGCAGCGCAGCAGACATGCCCCCCTCCCCCCCCCGACCATGCCAGACAGCCGCCAGGACCCTTATTGCTAGGCAACGCATCCTGCCGTGTTTCAGCTGTGATGTACAGTCTGCGAGACGCAGAAGCCCGGCAGGCAAAAAATTCACCAAAGGAAGCCCCCCCCCCCACCCGCATTTGACTGACATCTGCAGACCAGCGTCACACGGTTGGGGGACATTCTTCATGAAGAAGGCGGAGCCTGCAGGATGCCCGCACACACACACGCACACACACACACACACACACAGGATGTGTACTGTGGATACAGAGGGTTTCTGCATGTCAAGGGTTGTGTGTGTGTGGGTTATGGGGCAACAGGTGGGGGAGGGGGGCAGCAGGTGATGGAAGTGCTCAGGGAGGTCTCTGCTGTAACGGGTTTGAGGGCTCCGCACGCGCACCTTTGATCTGAAGAGGCTTTGGGGGGGGGGAGGGGGGGGTTACTCTGTGCTTCCTGTCTCTCTCTCATCAGTAGCTGTTTCTCTACATCTTTCCCTCCATGTATCCAGCTCCACCCACTCAGCCACCTCATTTACATATGAAAAAATACCCCGAGGGTCTCGAACAATCTTAAACAATCGCTTTCCTTCGTTTGACTGTGTCAGCTTCCGCTCCCTCACTTGGAGGTTTATTCCAGCTTATTGACAGCGATCAATAAGCAGCCCACCCCCCAGAATCTCTCTGGTTCCTTACAGACTCCTGCTGCTTGGTCTGAGACGTTCTCCCTCTCTTAAAGGTCTCAGAGGTTGATGCAGGACCAAGGACTGACCACAAGAAGAGACGTGTCTTAAAAAAAATTTATTTTAAAATTCAGCAGTCAAAGTAAAAGAAACCAAAATGACAGAAGGCATTGTTGCATTTACAAGTGCCAAAAATCTTTTTGGTATATTAGAATTCAAAACAAAAACAAAACAAAAAATCATAAATAAAAAGTGTGTTGGCTGTTTGTGGAGAGGAGTTTCTCAGAGAGGACAAAGGGTAAGGCACAGAGACCCTGCATCAGGGAAGGAGAGATTCAGAGAAAACATCTCAAAGGTGAGCAACAGTCTGCCAAAACACTCTTAAAGGCAAAGATCTTCATTCCTAATAGAATCAGCCAGTCAAGAAGCCCATAAGAACATTTCCTTTAAAATTCCCTTTTGTTTGAACATCTGACCTATTTACAGTAACCGTAAGACATCCTTCCTTCACAAAATATCTATGTACAGTTTTTTTATGATTTATACCAAAATAGTTATACCATATAGATCAGAGTGTCATAACTGGATTTATCGTTGAACATACATTTATGGTTGATGTTAATAAGAAATGCTATCTGTTTGCTTAAGCGATCGTTTCAGTGGTGTAAGGTTGTTTGCCTCATAAACGTGTCCCTGAAGACATCAACACCACCTGTCTTATCCAGTGAATCTGGCTGAAATTTCCACCATTATCAAGCCACGCCCCACCCCTTCCAGGCCCCACCCTCCCCACAGACTCCTCCCACTCACAACCACCAGCAGCAGTCAATTGTTAAGGCTAGACTCGTCTGACCGACGTCTGGCAAGGAGATTTTTAGTTTATGCAGTTTGCTGTTATCAGGTAACTATCTGCCTGGGGTGGATTAACCTGGAGGATCAAAGGGTGGTACTTTTACCAGGCAGGGGTAGCGAGTGTTGTAGGTAGTACAAGTACGCACCAGGAGTACAGACACGCAGGTAATTACACGCAACATGAACATTTTCATATATATATCTGGTCTTTTAAAGGACCTGTTTTTTTGCTGGAAGTTTCCAGAAATCTATGCAGCAACAACAGGGACTAGAGCCTCCTGTGCCCTGTCCAGGAATGTGAGCTCCAGGCGAATCATGAACAAAATCCACCCCTGTCGTTCCACGTGTCACCAACAGGGCGGCGCAGCTTCCAAATGGATGGACTTCAAAAGTGCAATGGAGAGAGCATATGTACAATTGGGTAAAATGAAACAGAAGGGAGACTGTAAGGTTGGGGGTTGATATACCTTCCTACATAGGGAGGTGGACAAGGCCCACTGTCCTTCAGAAACCAAAGCAGGTGGAAACATCGAAGCCTGTCAGTCACCGTCACCCGCATCCCATTGGTTGAAACGGCAATGATTGACAGCGAACAGCAGGGACACCCACCCACCGTCTGCTTCGGAGCCTGATCTCTGATTTCTACCTGCTAAGTCAATCGTTCACAGCAAATGGCTTGACTCCAGTTCGGCTGTAATGGAAACTCAGTGCTTTGCAACCTTGTTCCTGACGATGTTTTAAATATAATAACAAGCAGCGTCTTTCGCCTACATTCAGCGTGGAGAGGATCCATCCATCTCCTGGGTCTAAAATGTTTTTTCTTCTGCTCTCTCTGAAGCCAAATTTCCCAGAAGGCAACAGGAGCTTCAGCTCATCTTACCTCACCAGTCGGCTTATTTATGCATTTCCAGTGCTAAGCTGGGGATTTAGTGTGTGTGGGGGTGTATTGGACACTCTCTGATTCTGACGGTAGCACTGACGAGTCCAAACTGCGCCCACTTCCTGTTTTCAATCAATGCCAAGCTACAAGGCTAAGTAACCAAAATGTAGCCCCTCCCACGGCCCCGCCCACCCTGCCAAGTGGCCTGCATGTAAGTGGGCCCTAGCCAGAAAAGCCAGAGCGATTCTTAAAGGACAGGAAAAAACAGAGAGAAACTGCACTCTGCTTGCACACGGGCTGCAGGCAGAGATTGGGGGTGAGAGGCCTTTGTAAATAAAGGCAGCAAGCTGACAGAAAGCCGTCACTCAGCTGCAAAGCAGCATATGGTCATTAGTCACTGACTAAAGATTTCAGTATTAATAAAATGTACAAATAAATAGCCACCATTTGGTTCCTTACTGTCTGCACACGTTTTAGCTCTGAAGCAGGAAAAAGAGAACACAAGAGAGTTAATTCGCCAACGTGACGGACAGGCTCCGCCCCCACCCTGCCACAGCCAATGGATGTCTGGACGACCCCCCCCCCCCCCCCGTCCTTTCAGTAAAGAGGCAAAGTTGGGGCGGTGTTCCGTTTCCGTGGCGACCATAAGGAAAAATGGAGATCCAGTCACGGTAAATTCACTAAATTAAATTCAAAATAAACAGACTCGGGGCGGGGAGCTAAATCAGACTCGCCAGAATTAACGGGAGTTTTCTTAGTCAACAAAATGCAGAACCTCGTTAATTATAACTGGTACGAGGCTGGGGGGAGGAATGCTCAAAGTGTTTCCTTTTAACAACCTGAAATATGTAATAAAATTGTCACAAATAAATAACAGCATAGAAATCCAACCGCAGAGCCTCCAGTCCAGCAGGGGGCGCTACCTGATGCGGCCATCGGCTCTGGGGAGCCCCAGCTGAGACTTGGGGTCAGGACTGAGTGAGCTCCATTTGGTCTTGGCACAGGCCTGCAGGCCGGGGCAGGCCCCAGGGCCCACCGCGCACACGCTCATGGGGGCCCAGCCCTCAGCCACCAGGCCGTCCACCCAGCGCTCCAGGGCAGGGCCTGTCAGTCCGGCGTTGCGCTCGGCCGCTTCCACCTGGCCCAGGTGCACGGGGATGTTGAGGATGGGGTTCAGGCCATGGAAGCTCTGCTCCATGTAACTGTTCTTAGCAGGACCGTTGTGGAGCCTCAGGGCGTCGTCTGGAAGGGGGAGAAGAAACCAGAATGTGCATATAAGCGGGGTCCGTTCAGCCACGAGGAGTCGGGAGGACCGTCACGCAGAAGGTCACCAAGAGCGGCATCTACTGTGTGAGTTTTTTTTGGAAGGACTGGGTGTAGCAATGCCATCTTCTAAGAGAACCCCCCCACAAAGGTAGACCGGCCATCGCTCCGAGCCCCTGCCCCGTCCCGCCCTGCTTTAGCGCCGGCGTCACACGGGTCACAGATTACTGGACGGCATTGTTGTGGGGGGGGGTGGTGACTTTCTATGGGCTCTGCTCCATCCCCGTCCTGATTTAATCTGGCCAATGCGGACACCATGCACGCCGCACTCTTTCCTGCGACCGTCTGGTGACTCATCCCACACGCTGAGGTGACGGCGACGCTGTGATTTTTAATGCTGGTTGGAGATGAACTTCTGACTTTGGAGTCACTGATGAAGAAACCGACCCTCTCAGATAGCAGGCAGGTTTAGGTCGGTGGAGGGCGGACATTTAAACACCCCCACCCATTTACCTGCTTTCCTGCATTAAGCGTTGTTGTTGTTTGTGGTGAGCCCCTTTGCGAGTGTATGGTTTGAGTAGTGGGCCTCTTAGCACCACAGCATCATCTTCATAATGGGCATCAAGCTCTCATCTCCTCGCCATGGTTCCCCTTGGCGCTGGTGGGTCCGCGCCTCACATGGAGGGCAGCCCGGCCGGTGGTGTCCGTCTGCGATGGTGCACCACAGAATCAGCCCCCCTGCCACTCATACTGAATTACAACCGCGTTACTCTGCAGTGAGATCACTCTCACCTCAAAGCCCTGCCCACACACCCCACCCGGCCAGTCGTGGCAGCCACAAGGAGCCTCTCTGAGATAATTCAGGCTACTCCATTTAGGGCTTGTGCTGGCCCACATTGAGTCATCTAACTCTTGATGGATTCTGCGGATTTCACCACATGTGCAGATCACATGACCTTTCTTTACTCACTTCGAGATGAGGAAACTATGGAGTCACTTTGGTGATATGTCACCAGATGCTATTTTAGAAAAACCTCAATACAGAATAGTTAATTTTGCACCGGTGGAGGTCTAGAAAGATGCGGGCAGCTGAAGAACTCCAGGTCGGCGCTACAGAAGCTACCGGAAGGAAGGCTTTGCAGGAGCACGGCAGCATTACGCCTTCGGGCTCTGGCACACACTCGCCGTTCCAAAACATGGATAAAAGAGTACAAATCCCAGAAATGCAAACATGCCAGATTCACCACCTTCACCTGGTTCCCCTCAGAACCTTCCAGTGGGGGGGGGGGGGAGGGATTTGTGATCCCTTTTGCCCCCTCAGGCACAATGAGGTTAGCTACTTGGCTGCAGAATTGAGTAGCCGGGGGCAACGTGCAGTGCTGCACAAACACACACACACACACACACACACACAAACACACACACACCGGTAATCAGACACAACGGCCTGCTTGCAATCAATCTGACCGTCTCGTGGCTGAATGTTCCGGCCGGAATGTTCCAGAAGCTGCTCTCTGTGTATTCAGTTCTTGGTCAGGGTTCTCCTTTTCAGAAATGCTCAGACGTCGGTGACTTACAGCAGAGGGAGAGTCTCCACATTCCTCCCAGCAGCCATGATAAAGACCCACTGTGCAAAGTGGAATAAACTACAGCTTTTCCTTACAAAGTCACTTGTTGTTAAGGTGCCAAATTGCTTTTTAAATGTTTCCCGGTGCTGTGAATCACAACAGGGTGCTCACTCTGCATCCTCCCAGTGAAATAAGAGTGAGTTTAATACATAATAGCTGGTTAAGTCACCTTGGATAACAGTATCTCCCACCAGAGAAGAGAAATGGGTGTTACTTAAATTGGTTCCTGCTAAATCAATTTATGACTGACAGCTCACAGTAAGCTCCATCCACTGTAATGAGTGACAGCTCACAGAAAGCTCCACCCAAGGTAATGATTGAGAGATCACAATAAATCCCACCCACAGTAATGACTGTCAGCTCACTGCGAACTCCACCCTCTACAATAATTGACAGCCTGCACTAAGCTCCAAGCACCACAGCAACTGACATCTCACAGGCTCACAGTAAAACCCACCCAATGCAGTGACTGACAGCTCACAGTAAACCCCACCCACTGCAGTGATTGACAGCTCACAGTAAACCCCACCCACTGCAGTGATTGACAGCTCACAGTAAACCCCACCCACTGCAGTGATTGACAGCTCACATTAAACCCCACCCACTGCAGTGATTGACAGCTCACATTAAACCCCACCCACTGCAGTGATTGACAATTTGTGATAAATCCCAGCTTTTGCTTTGAAGTCTGATATCTCCCCGCAGAAAGTAATAGAATTATTTTAAACACTGAAGCTGAATCTCGATGCAGTGACAGTGACCCACCTCGGCGGATGGGCTGACGGTCGCTGTAGGCCAGCGGGACGATCAGGAAGCGGGTCTCGGCCACGGCGGCCCACTGGTGCAGCACGCGTACGGTCCAGACGCCGGGCCTGAGCGGCAGGTTCAGCGGCGGCTTGTAGTGCGTGAAGTCAGCGGCGCCGTCGATCAGCACGTCGTAGGTGGCGGCGATGACGTTGGTGGGGTCCACCCACACCACGGTCACCGTCACGTTCGGCCCCTTGGCCCACTGCTGCATCCCCACCGGCTCGTCCAAGGGGCCCATCAGGTTGCCGAAGTTCCGGAAGATCCGCTCTTTGGCATCCCAGTCTGTGCCGATCTGAGGGGGGAAACAGTGCCGTGAGCAACACGGAGCTCGCGGTCGCTCTGGGGGGGGGGGGTTCAGTGACAGCAGGGTCTCACTCGGTCATGCAGAAGGAAGCTTCCAGACTCGAGTAAAACAACGAGCCCCCTAACCGCTTTCATTACTCAGCCGTGCCCCCCGCATGCTAAACGGCAGCTATTCTCCACGGCGAGGGAGGACGCAGGCGCGCTCGTTCGAACAGAAAATAAAAATCTTAGTGGCCGGAGGTCGTCGGATTCAGATTAGAACGTAAACGGGTTTGCTTAGGAAGGGCAGACCGAATTATAAACGCCCGAGGACGGACGCGACGCGGCTATAGGTCAGCGGTTTCCATTGGCGCTCTGAAATGCATCATTGCAGCTTTTGGTGGGAAACGTGATGTCTTAAATGTGTCTTTTGAGGACTATGGAGCCGGGATGAAGAAGGAAAGAGAACTTATATGCACTTGTCTGAGGCCAGGGCTAGGGTAGTAGTTTCTGGGGCCCCAATCAAAATGTCCCCGAGGAATAAATAGCTAGCGAGTAGAGTCAGGAGATTCTAGCTAGCTGGTCAACAGATCATGCTGCCTCAGCATCTCCTAAATAAAGTGATTCATTAATATTTGGTGTATTGACTGTTTGTGGCCAATAGGAGGCCCAAACCTCAGGGGCCCCAGGCTGAAATGTGGTTCGAGTGGTGATGAACGCTGCCGCTTGTCTGGCGCCGCCCCGGTGGTTACCTCTATAAACTGCAGTCGAGAGAAGCTTCCCGGAGGGCCTGAGAACCTGAAGGCCGTCTTGGGCGTGACCCAGGTCTCCAGGGCCTCCACCTTGCTGGTGGCCAAGTTGGCGGCGTGGTGCCTCACCAGGTAGCCCTGGAACTGGTCGGACATGAAGTAGAGGTGCACCGAGACGGGGTGTCCCACGGGGAGGTACCTGTGGGGGTGGGCAGGATGATTCAGGGGTGGTTACCATTTGCAGATCTGACTGCATCATGGCACCATGCGGGTCCCTCTTCTGACGGATGTTCTGGGGGAAGCAGAAGCTGTTCCCTGCAAGGATCTCCCTGACGTCGGCGCGTTGATGCACAACTGCCCCACTACTGCCACCCTGTTCCTCCCTCTCCGTATCTCTCTCTGTCACAAACACACATAAGTGCACACAGACACGCACACACAGACACACATACAGGATTGTAATTATATCTTTGTGGGGACTCGCCAATCATTTCCATGGGGGAAACTCTAACCTCAACCTGACAACCTTAACCCCAACCCAGCCCTAACCTAACCCATAAGTAACCAAGCTAAATATTTTTAGTTTTCTGATTGCAGTCATAGATTTTTATTAAATTGATGTTCCCCTTGTGCGGGCGGGAAAAAATGGTCCCCACAACGTCAAAATTACAGGTTTTTATTACGTTGTGGGAACATTTGGTCCCCACAGTGTAATGTATACCTGAACCACACACACACACACACACACACACACACACACACACAGATGCAGCCCCAGCAAGCGCCGGAGTCCCAGACACTGACGTCAGAAATCCCCCCCCGCTCCCATATGCCTGCCAGCTGATCACCTCAGCATGGCACAGAGGTGCGGGCGTGCCAGCGGGAACTCCTCTGCAAAGTCACCCTGACACACACACACGCACGCACGCACGCACACACACACACACACACACGCACACACACACACACTGCAAGCGTTATTCGCAATAGACCCCGGGATTTAACCTGCTCTTAACGATTCATGTTCTCCTAACTTGGCTGCACAGTATGCCGTAGGACGTACGGCGTGATCATGCTTTATGACAGTAATTTTTTTTATCATGTAATATTTGTTTATTATTTCATATCAGATGGAGCCAGATACAGATACTGGGGAATAACGTCTGAAGGAGGTCGGTCAGGAGAGATGAGTTAATTTTCCTCATGGCTTTATAAGGCTTTATAAGGCTTTATAAGGCTTTATAAAGTGAATTCTGTACGAGGTCCAGTAAGATGCGCCGGGCGGGGAGGCTGGCTGAACTGGGGAGGGGGGTGGGGGGGTTACTGGAGGTGCAGCTGCGAGCAGCAGGACCGGAGCTGGACCGCGTGAGACTGAAAGCACACAGCAGGTAATGCAGCTGAACCGTGAAGAGATCGACCGTCCCACAACCTGAACACCCTCTAATTAGAGCCAGTCCCACACCCAGGACCAGAATCCATCACGGCAATGTGCCCCACGACTCTAGGCCGGGAGGGGGGGGCTCCTTCCTCTAATATGCCCGATTAAGCCCCCCTCCCACCTCGCTGCCTTTTTCACAGGCAACCCCTTCCACGTTTACAGGCAGAACTCCGCTTTGGAAAGCTGTTGGCGTTCCCGGGATGAATTATTCATGGGGGAAAGAGGCGCAAAGATCAGGGATCTGGAGGAGAGGTGGGGAGAGAAGCAGACCTGCAGCCTCAAGGAGCTCACAGCATGTGGTGGGGCAGCGTGACGGCTGGGGAGGCGACCCATCCTGGGGGCAGATACTACCCCCCCACCCCCCCAGATGTTTTAAAATGTAAATATGCAGCTAGCGAGCAGAGTCAGATGGTAGGTAGCTGTTTAGCAGAACATGCTGCTTCAGCATCTCCTAAATAACGAGTTTATTTGACATTTAGTCTGGAGACTATCTGTGGCCAACAGGGGGCTCCACACAAATGTGTGGCTTGAGTGGAGGTAAACACCACTGCTGCCAGCGGCCGCGCACCCAGCCTCGGTGGGGGGGCCGCCAGATCAGGGGATCCCGCTCTCGCACCTTATCACATGGACTCCAGCCCCCCACCAGAGAGAAACAACATGAGGCACGAGATACACACACACTGCCGACTGTCACCTGGATGCAAACGCGACGTCGACCACCCTTCAAACAGGCAGAAAAGAGGATAGGGAGGGAGAGAGATATACCACAAGGAGACAGACAGGAGGCGGGATAGGAGGAGGACAGAGCATGGGCAGAGAGGAGGTGGGACAGGAGAAGGAGAGCACAGGCAGATAGGAGGAGGGACAGGAGGGGAGGGAGAGGAAGCTGCCCTATGCCTCCTGCTCAGCTCATCTGTATTCTGGGAGAAGCTGCAGGACTCGATCCCTGCACAGCAACCCTGACAAGCAGAACAGCAAATATTTACACACACCCCCCCCCCCCTGCCCCCCCCCCTGAGCCAGCAGTCCCCAGTAGGGTGACAGAAGCCCTTTCACTGCGGCTCCTCCCTGCCCATGTCACTCGAGGTAAAGAACAGTGACTCGCTGTCTCCCCAGAAGCATGGCAGTAGCCCCCCCCCCCACCTGAAGCCCAGCCACATTCACGCCTAGAATAAGAGCTCTGGGGGTATGCAGGTCAGGTGCATTCTGGGTAACACACACAAAATGAAACGTATAATGGCCTTCAGTTTTTCAGAACACACCATAACCAGACTATGCCTGGAACCTCACACTTGCCTTCTCCGTCTAGCTCGCGTGCCATTGGATGGAGGGCCTGCCTTTCAAATTCACTCTGTCCTATAAGCTGCAGCAGGCGGGAGCTTAATGGCAGATGGTTACATTACAGTAACTTTCCAGTGACAGTCCTTTGTGGCACCTCACTAAATTCAGGCTTTTTTTTAAACTAATTTGTTGGGTAAATAATGCGAATGTGGTAGTTGGGGTTAGACAGTAACTAGAGTAGAGGTGTTGCAGTGACACGTGAGTTTTCCGGCACCTGGGGCTCTGACCTGCAGCTGATGGGGCTGGGATTTCCCTGCGCCAGACTGCCGGCATGCGCCAGGCCCATGCGTCCAAAGGCGTGGTAGTAGGTCAGCTGGGCGTCGGAGAGGCTGCTGACTCCGTCGGGCTCATCGTACACGTTCTCCCAGTAAGCCTGGAGCCCTGGGGTGCTGGGGGCCAAGGGCCCGAACAGGAAGGCGTCCAGCTGGTTGATGACCTCCTGGTTGACGCTGGCCTCAAACTTGCGGGCAAAGAAAGTCGGCCTGGTGGTTTGCTGCGGAGGGAAAAGGCCGTCAGTCGGAGCGAGCGATCTCAGCGGGGGTTACGAGAGAGGATGCGCGTGGTAGACAGAGCCGTGAGAGACTGACAGCTTCCCTCGCCGGCTCCTCGCCCCGGGAGGCGTGAGGGAGCCGAGGTAAAAATAAGATCAGAGCATTGCTATCCCAGGAGGCCAGGCGGCGTGCGTTTATTAGGGAAGGAGGAAGGCCTCCACTCAAGCCTGCCGTCTGCTGACAGAGATGAGGCTCATGTGCTGCAGACAGAGCCCTTGAAAGGGGGGGGGGGATCAGCCAATAGCAGTGGCCCACTGAGAACCGCAGACCAATCCTGGGGGTTTTAATCCATCCGAAGGGTCCGTCAGGGAGGCAGCGGAATAGCCATCTAGGTTCAGCATCGGAGGTTCAGAATCAGGGGTGTCAGAAATAGGGGGAACAGGAGACCCCCCCCCCTCCCCTTCCTTTCCAAAAGATAAATAATTAAGGATGTGTTCCTTATCTTTCATTATGAATCTGCATTACTGAGGCCAATTTGCTGCGCATGAGCGAAGCAGAGGCTGAGGATGAAACATAGACTGTAGTCCTATATCAGACAAAATCATTTTATCGTATGGGTCAGTTATTTTTTTAGTTAGGCTATGTTTGGTTGTGAAACTGTACCCAAAACAAAGTTACTGTTTTAAATGATGAAATTTGTATTATTTTTAAAGCTTTTTTACAATGCATCCTTTCACAGTGTGGCTACTCCATTGTAATATATCGCGATATACACCTTCCCCCCCGCCGGTGCTGGGGCAAATGCCGCTGTTCTGAATAGATTCAGGCCTGAGGAAACCGTCCTCAAACAACCTAGACCAATTGCAGCTTTGCTCTGGGCTGGGGAACATTGGGATTGAGGCTGGGGTAAGGCTGTGTCCCCAGCTGAGCAGGTGTACAGAGAAGAAGGAGGCCTGCCTGCAAAATAAGGAAGTAAGTTCATCCCCCAGCCCGCCTGTCTGCACAGGTGAGGACTGGAGCCCACGGACGCCCACGCGGAGGAGCCTGCGGTGAAAGGCGGAGAGCTGAATGCTCCTCCGTAGGGTGTGATGGGTCTGCGCACATCCCGGAGGTCCAGGACCACGAGTGCTGCAATCCAGAGGCGAAGGAACCCACAAGCACGCGATTAGCGGAGCGAGGAAGGCGGCTGCGCCCAGAGACGCTTCTGTGGCCCGATTTAGAGCGCTCTACTTTTGGAGACGGGGCCCAGTTTGAGGTGATGAGTCACGAGAGCCCCGGCAGACCACAGGGAACAGAGTGCCGGTCGGGAAGCAGATGGAATCGGGCGGCACAGGCGGGTCGAGGGAGCCAGCGGGTCAGACGGCCCGGTCCCCGGCATTCCGGCGCTCCAGTTGAGCCCAGGCCCGGCCCTATCCCGCTCAAAGAGGATTCTCCCATAATACCCATGCCAGGTAGCCCCGGTCTGCCTGGTTTGAAGGTCTGGGCCCAGGTGAGGAACAAGAGGACGTGGGCGGGGGCTCACCTGGAAGCGGTGGAAGTCGGCTGGCTTGAAGTCGTTGGGCGAGCAGCCGCACCAGTCTACGATGTGCTTGTACTGGCACTTGCAGCCCAGACGCCGGTTCCAGTTGGTGACACGCAGATTGTTGTCCACCATGCTCTCGCAGTATAGGCTGTTCTCCAGGACTGTGTGGAAGAATGACTAGGGGAGGGAGGGCAGGACATCAGATGGGCAGCCGACACATGTGGCTCCTCCGCAGGTCAGGAGAGATAGAATTTCTGGGCAGACCTGGGGGAGTAGGTACAGACGCCCATAGGACCCTTGTCCACAGTACCAGCTCTCACCTCTGCGGGCAGCAGTGTGTAGGCATAGAACCGCTTCATGCTGGCGACCAGGTCATCCTGCGAGTTGACCACGTACTCCACGAAGGCGCGGTTGAGCAGGAACCAGTCGGAGCCCCCGTCCACGGAGATGCCCTCTGGGATCTTGCGATCGCCCAGCCTCCACATGTGGGTATCGCACTCATAGAATAGGCGGTCCAGGCCCTGCTTGCGGATGAACCTGCAAAGCCAGGAGCAGCTGGTGGTAAGAGTTGGGAGGCTTTACAACACCACTGGGGGGGGGGAGGTGGAGCTGGAGAAACAGGATGTCAAACAGCTACATGAAGCCTTCTCATCTCCTTTCCTCAAAAAAGGCTGACACCTCCTCAAAGGATGGTAGAGGGTCACACTAAACGAGCATGGCAGATGTAGGGGGGGGTGGTGCTCAGCAGTTCAAGCTTTAAAGAGACTCCGTGGCTGTGTCTAAATTCAGGCGCTGCATCCTTCGAAAGATGCAGTCTACGAAGCTGGAGCCGTTATAGGCTGTGTTCTTCAAAGGTCAAACAGACAGCGTAGTCAAATGGCATGCCGTGGCCTACGGATAATTTCCTATTTGTGTCACCAACTGTTCCCGCCCTTTCCCTTGAGTCACAAAGCGCCGCTCCTATCGCCCAGCCAGGACGCACACACTTCACCTCTGTGCAGTGCATTGTGGGATAGATTGGGCCACTGTGAACCCATCGCGTGGATGCTATGCAACTCTGCCAAAAGAGGACGCATTTCTAGGCCACTTTTGAAGTAGCCTTCGAAATGGGACAGCCTTGTCGCATCCCTGTGACGCATTCAGTCTTTGAATGCAGCCTTCGAAGGATGCAGCTCCTGAATTCAGGCATAGCCCACGTCTCCTTCTGGCTGCCTTTGATCGTCAACACGAGGGTCGTGGCTACGGGCAGTGGGAGGGTCCGCCTTTAAGGACCAAACTGCGTGGTGTTTTCAGGATGGGAGGGGGGGGGGGGTCATCACACTCACCGTGCATTGTCTCTCCCGTGAGATTTGATGAAGTTCATGTCTCGGTATTTGGAGAGGAACGCCACCAGCTGGTCATTGGTTCTAAACACAACCAAATCAATGGGTGATTAGAATCCAAGGGTCCATGCCCGCCCGAATACCAGCGAGCAGGAAACACTGCACATTCCCACACAGCAACCCGTTAACCAAGCAGACAGGAAGTACATCACGCCTATTAGGTTACATCCACATTGGCTGGATGCCCACAAGGTGACGCTGTTGCCTCTGACTCGAACCTGCAGTGGAAACAGCACTGGGGAGGTGCATGAAAGTACCCAGGGGTGCAACAGGTGTCATGGTAACCAAAACAAATAAATCCTGACCCTCTTCCTGACAGCATCGATAACTGTGTCAAACGCTTATGGTGCCATGTCCTAGATCAAACGCGAGCTGGGGATTACGACAGAGTACAAAATGTCGACAGCATTACTGTGGGATTATATGATTTCTTATGAGGAAATGAGAACAGACAGAAAAACAGCCGACAGCAGACTTGGTCACACCCACCAACCCATAGAGGGCGCTACAGGGAAAGTGTAAATGGTGGGACTGTGGCATTGAGCCAAAAACTGAGCTCAAAAGGCTCCATAAAATGTTTTTATGACTGACAGACTGTGTCATTATTACAGAGGATGGCCTGCATCTGTGACTGACAGGCTCTGTTATTATTAGAGAGGAAGGCCTGCATCTGTCACTGACAGGCTCTGTTATTATTAGACAGGAAGGCCTGCATCTGTCACTGACAGGCTGTGTTATTATTAGAGAGGAAGGCCTGCATCTGTGACTGACAGATTGTGTTGTTATTAGAGAGGAAGGCCTGTATCTATGATTGACAGACTGTTTTATTTGAGTGGAAGGCCTGCATATATCATTGACAGACTTATTATTAGAGAGGCAGGCCTGCATTTGTGATTGATAGACTGTGTTATTATTACAGTAGAAGGCCTGTGCCTGTGAATGACAGACTGTGTTGTTATTATTAGTGTTTGTTACGGGTAAAGAAGGAGTGAAAATCAGCCCCCCAGAGCGATGAGTCTCTGTAGCGCCCTCTGGTGTATCGGGGGTGCAGAGCAGCTGGATCTCATTATTCTGTAGTTTAACAGCGCTGCATTGATCCTCACACCCTAATGCGGTTGAAATGGCTTAAGCGCAGCATCGATCTGGGGGCGCCACAGGACTCAGCAGGCTGGCACAGCGTGCCTCACAGGCAGGCGGGGAAGAGGGCAGCCCAGGTCGCCGTGGACACATCCGGTGTTGACGTGGTGCCAGTCCAAATAAGAGCAAGGCGAGGCAGGCAGGCTAGGACAGCGGGAAGCCTGGGTCCCCAATCCACACCTGGGTCAGAACACACTGTTCCAACCCCAAACCCTGCCTGGATGCCAGTGCAGACTCAAACTTTAGAGGACGAACAGTGGACGGTTCTGTTGAATAAAACCAGGACTAGTTCCTCAAACAAAACAAAAAAAGGAATTTCAAACAGGACTCAGCCCCATGTGTGCCTGTTATGTCAACAGCAGTGTTGTAAAATTTAGTTTGGGTTTAACAGCTGAACACAGCACCAGTAGAATGGGTCAGCTTATGGGCCTTAAATGCATTCATCGTTTAGCAAGGAAGGTAATTGGCTAGGGTTACCGTGGCGACGCTGTCACTCTGAGGGTACGACACAAAACAGACTCGCTTCTCCCAGTACAGGGAAATTTGTTTTTCCATGCGAGGGAAACAATTCAGCCATCAACTCGCAAATGTATTCTTCTTCTGTGGGCACACACCAAACTGCCCCGATGTGTGCCTACCTTTTACTACCCCGGCAGTCATGCTCAGGGTGGGTCAACCGCAGTGATATACCCATAATCCCATGCAGACCAAATTCAGGCCATTTTTCCAAGCACAATTATCACAGTGAGAGGATGCATAAGACAATATTTGGGGCAAATTGCTAGAGATGTCCCCCACAATTGATAAGAGTTCACGTCACTGACCAAGTTAATTCTTTAAGGAATCGTTAATCAATGTTCGGCTAGTTCCAGCCTCGGGTAATTTGTGGACAGCTGGAAAACAGGAACCTTTTCCTCAGTACCAGAAGGGACAGAGCGAGGGAGGGTTGTGATTTAGTGCCACTACTTGGCTTCCTGGTCCATATTTTTCTCCAGACACACACCTCATCTCTCACACCTCTCTGATTGGCCCTCAACTGAATGCCCCCTCACCTGATTGGATAATCAGCGGCGCTGAGGTTGATGAAGAAGTCCCAGGCCCAATCCTTCATGGTCAGGAGATCCTTCATGCTGCGCAGGTACATGGTGAGCAGGCTGGCTCCACCCCAGATGGTGGACATGCGCCAGGGCGTGACCCGTACATTGGGATATTGGCTCACCAGCGCCACCACCTGTCTATGCAGGTAGTTGGAGCGCTGAAAACAAAGAAAAAAAAATATTGGAACAGGATTGTAAAAATCCCTGAGATGCCAGCTATAATCTGAGATGTGATACCTGCCTGTAAGCTGACTGAAAATTAAGGCCATGCCAAACCCGTGAATGTAGGAACACTGGCAAACTGTACTGTGGTCACAAAACCTCAACCACCACCTCCTACTGAGAATAAATGTGTTCTGCAATCGTCACGGTGACGGAGAACCTGGTCCACGTGGATGTAGTAGTAATGGGAGGAGTGGTAGATGGCCTTAAAGAGGCGCTGCAGCTGACGGGAAGCCCGGCCATGGATCACCAGTACGAAGGCGATGCGGACGGGCACGGTTGGGGCAGCCTCGACGGGGTCCTCGTCCCACTGGGCATTCATGGTGGCCTTGCCTGGATGCAGACATGGACAGGCATGTGGATGGAGCGAGCTGGGTGCGGGGGGTGTCCTCCTTAAGGTGTGTTGATGTTTAAATCGGTTTGCTGCCCTGAATTACAGGGTCGGGGGCAGAGCTCAAACCCTCCCCCCCAAGACGGACATAGATGTCAGGCAACAGTCAGGAATAGCACACAGGAAGCAGCAATGAGAGCTTGCATGTGCCCATTTGTGGCTTTCTAAATGCACAGAGCGTATAAATAAACTCGGCCACTCTGCTCTGTCATGGAACCCGGGGCTGCCTGGGGTGGGGTGCAGAATCATCAACCAGGGGTTAGGGTTAGCGCTGCCATGGTAACCCCAACTCCCCATGTCCATATGCATACCCTGCTTCATATGTATGGCAGATCCCCCCCCCCACACACACCACTGCTGTGTCCCTGATGTGGGCTGAGGGTGGGGGTGAACAGCATTGGGGGGAGCATTTTTGCCAGCTGTATTTGTTCTGGGGTCCCACCGTTGATGTGTTCTGACCCCACCCTCTCCACCCCCACCCTCACTCTGTAGGCACCCATTCTGCCGGTCTAAAAGCCCCCACTGCTATCCAGCATGATCTGCATGATGCGTTTTCATCACAGGCTGAAGAGGCAGGGCATCAACCTCAGCAGACTGGGAGATACCTCCTAGGATCAACCCTGGGCCTGCTCTCCTTCCGGCCGAGCATTTGAGTTTTTGGTTGAAGTAATTAACCCAGTAATTGAGCTAATTGAGTGTTCATTAGACAGAAGGAAGCCTTCAGATGCTCTGTCCTCCTAGACCAGGACCGGGAGGGGCTGGGGGGGGGGGGGGGGGGGGGGACAGGGGGAGGCTCCCAATGTCCTTTTTGTCAGAATTCAAAAGAAAGGCAGGACATCAAACTATTGGAAAGGCTTCTGTCAGCAGGAACTGCACTGCTTTCAAAATGAGATTCTGGCGTGGGCTTGGAGCAGATGTCTCAGAAATCCGACTAAAATTAAAAAAAAAAAAACGCTAAAGTGAGAATGAATGAAAATAAGAGTTCATCAAGTCTGAGCTGACAAGTGTGGTGGGGAACGGCTGAATGACGGCTTCCGTAGGGGTCATAGGGGCATTGTGGGATTGGTGTCAGCAGAATAGGTCTTCTGTCCTATTCACAATCACGCCCTATAAGCAGAACTAGTCTGGGTTGTGCCATGCTAGTTTACCCGTCTTTATGCTCGGGTACAAACACAATGCCGGAGCTAAGCTACAAGAAACAGTCCTTCACTCACACCCGGAAGCAGGGGCGTTGCTAGAGATTTTGGGCCCCATGAAAGCATATCATATTAGGCCCCCCAGTCCAAACCAATCCAGTTATTTTCCTAATTTTTTAGGGCCTCTGTCACTCAGGGGCCCTTGGAATCGTCCAAGCTTTCCTCCCCCTTATGGCGCCCCTGCCCGGAAGGCTCACCCACGTGCTCTCCATTCCCTTGTTAACTGTCGGGAAGGATGGCGTGGCGCGGCTCACCAATTACACATGACTCACGACTTAAGGAAAAGCACAATCTCTGAGCTCGCTTTGCAGTTGTAATTACCAGCACTGTTAGCATCTGACATGAGTGCCGCCGCATTTAATGTGGCTGCTCCGCATGCGGCCTCGTGTTTCATTTACCATTTACTGGTAGAAATGATCATCATCCCCAGCATTTACAAAACACACCGCTAAGCTAATATTGGCGGTTCACTCAGACGACCTGTGGTGTGACCAAGCTTGCATACGGTCTAGATGCAACAAGAGGACTTACCCTCTAGGGGGCAATATCGAGTCACCCGCTCAGGCATGAGCTGGTGCTCTTTGTGTCGGCAGTACACCTCAGCGATCTGCTGGCGGCATGCTTTGGTCTTGGCACGAGACAGGGCTGAGATGGCCTCCTTGCCGCTGATCTCACACTTAGGGGAGTGATCGTAGCGGACCTTGGGGACATCGGTGAAGGCTTCCCGGCTGAGGGGGTATGCGTGCTGCTGATGGGGCCGGGAGTCCCAGGGCCCACCTTGTGTGTGAGAGTGGTTCCATCCCTGCTGAACCACAACACCTTCCTGCAGGGCTTCATTGGAGCTCTTGCTCAGGCTCACCAAACGACCCTCCTGGGCGACCCTCAACCTCTCTTTGCCGGGGGTCTGTCGCTGGGGCTGGGAGCGGCCTTCCAAGTTACTGTGATCAATGCTCTCAAAGTCTTTGGGCACCGAGTTCTCATTGTTGCTGTCCACCCGCACCTTCTCCTTGGGCCGATGAGGTCGGTACCCAACCTGCATGGGCAACAACAGAGCAGGAGCAAGTTAGTGTGATGTGAGGCCCTACAGCCCAGTTCATCCAGCAGAGAGAGAGAGCGCTGTGCCCATGCCGGCCCGCCGGGAAGGGTAACCGTGGCTTTAACAGCACCACAGTCTCAGGCGCCCTCTGCTCGTGTCCTTGAACAGCAAATCATCTGCAGACAGAGGCGTGAACCCGGCGAGCCAGTAGACCATGTCTGTATGAGCTCCAAGCCGGCACCAAAGGCGAGAGGAGTCAGAGGAGGAGGAGGGACACGAGAGACGCAGAAGAAGAAGTGGTTTGCTACTGGCATAGAGGACGGGGGAGGTCAGGAGGAACCAGACAGGCATGCGTCACGCGGAACAGGAGAGACCAGAAGTAATGTAGCATAAAGAACTACCGGGTCATCCCAAGAGGCGAGAGAGGGGTATTAGTGTAGCACAACAAGCTGGGGGAGGGGGGATCTCAACGGTCAGGATCGGGCTTTTAGCCAAAGGGCTGCAGGTTCAGATCCAAAAAGCAAACTGCTGTCACTGGGCCAGTTGTTTAATCCTGCGACTGCTCCGCCGCATTTCCTGCATTTAAAGCGGCTAAGAGAGTAAAGTGAGTAATTTGCTGGGGATAGAAGGGTTTCCTCACACACTACAGTGAGTAAATAAGACACGCACTGGGATAGAAACCTCGCCTCTGATGGACAGGCCATTCTCTGTGTGTCAGAGGAACTAGCACTGCTCGCTCAGTGCTCTGTCCGACCATGCCACCTCCACCCCCCTTGTCCAACAGCCCCCAACCCCAGAACACATCAGACCATCAGATGGGGAGGATGGAGAGGAGCTCTGTTCTTTCACACCTCTGTGTCCTACAAGTTTGTCCTCGGAAACCTCGAGCATGCTGGTGAGCAGCGAGGCAGGGAAATCGCAATGGTACCCCCCGCTCCGCCCCACCCGCCGGAGGGAAAAATGATTTTGATTAGTTTGTGTAAGATAGGAGAGAAGATAACAGGGGCCCATGAGTCACTGCTATTCGAGTGACCTTCTCACTCCAGTGGCGACAGAGAGCACACAAAACATCGAATGGGGCCCATGTTGGGGGTGGGGGGGGGGGGGACACAATCCAAGCCTGGAAGATGAAGGGCATATTCCAAAAAACGATATTTATCTCCAGACTTAATAGATACACTCGCACACAAACACACTTTTCTCTTCCCCTGGTCATCTTTTTCCAGCAGACTTTGGTCCCCTGTCAGCTGCACATTATAGGGGGTAAGTCGGTGGGGAGGGGAATTATGGGGGCCTGTAATTAATCGCTTGAGGCACGGCCAGCAGCGAGTGCCAACCACCAGGGAGCAGACAATCGATCGCCTTTTCACAGGGAGTGACAGTTTTCCCAGGGTGCACTGGGGACATGCGCCACCAGTCTGCTGCAGAGTGGGTGCCGTACTCCATTCCTGCATCATCCACCCCCTTTCTAGACAGTTTTGGTTTATTCTGTTTGTTGCCTTTAAAAGCAGGTGAAAAGAGGGCAGGGCACGGCAGCCAGTATAAACCATCTAAAAGCTCAGGCACCCACACTTCTCACTGGTCTTAACCCCCTTCAGACTGTAGACCTCACACACTCTTTTGGTGATGCCCCATCTGATCAATGAGTAAACTCTCCTGGGTAATTTCCTCTATGCCGCAAGGCTGTTTGCACTTAACTTACCATGGTAAACCGTAAAAGTCACCGCAGATATGAGAGTGCAGTCAATTAGGTGTATAACGGGCCAGCTGGGCGAGGGGCAGGCTGTGGCAGGCACCCGGGAGAAGAGCTGGAGGATGTAAATTTCACTCATGCTTTAGCCGGGTTCTCCGCATGGACCTTGGGAGCCCGATTTGTCAAGGGGCTGTGGTGAAATTAGCGGTTTGGATTGGGAGCTGTTGCAAGTGAGGAAGGTTAACTCAGTTTGCAATGGTTTCTCTTGGAGCACCTCTGCTTCCATGGCTTCACATCTCCATCAAGCATTAGCCAAGGAGTCCAACCAGGGCTATCAACACAGCTCCTCCTCATACTGCTGTGATGGCAAGGTTGAAGTCTAGATTTAACCAAGGGCGGTGCCATAATCCTCCTTTGTCACTCCCCTGTGAAACCACTGTCAGATCAAAGAGATCATAGGTTGGGCCCCAGGGCCTCTAGCAAGGTTACCTTTACCACTGTACATAAACATCTTGCTAACAGTGAAAAGTGTTTTTTGTCCATTTTAAAGTGCCCCCCTTTCACTTTGAAAGCTTCAAGAAAATTGGTTGCACATCAATATGACGTCTGCGTTTAGAGTCTGTCTACGCCGGCTGTATTAGTCTAACCTAATCATGCTGTTCTGAAATTGCCCCTTAACACATTTCTGTTCATTTATGGCACATTTTGATGTATGACTGAAGCAGAAAGCCTTCGATTATCTGGGAAAAACAAGATCAGTGTTTGTTTTTTTTTTTGGGATGTCCTTGCTCCTCCCGCCCGGAGACGGTGGGGGCCAATCCCGGCCAGGCAGACAGCTGGTGGGCCAGCTGGCAAATGCATCCGTGTCAATTGGGGCTTGGGGGGGTTAAACTGAAAACACCCCCCCCCCACCCCCCCCCCCCAGCCATGGAACCAGGCCAGCAGGCATCAGAACCGGGGACGGTTTCTTCAGACTGTTAAAATTGCTCCAAGTTCACAGGGGACGGGCAGCTAATTTATAACTAATACCCAGAATAAAGTTACACATACAGAGAGTATGATTATGTACTAATACCCATCAATAATGGCCAACATCCCATAATAATGCAGGTATCACCCCACTTTAGCTGTATAAAGTACCCTCTTCCTCACTACTGCCATCTCCCATCATTTGACATCCCAAAAGACTGCTTGCTGAGTCGGACTACCATACACTGCCGGTGACTTACTCATTAGCCACAGATACTGCCGATGACACTACCAGCCACTGCAGGAGCACAGGAAATGGACAAACAGGAAGTGATGTAAGAGCCAAGCTTGTCCGAGACGCCCACAGCTGAGAAAACATGGCCTGGCAGGAGGACGGCTCAGTCTGGAGACCTTGTAATGACGATAAGGGCCACGCCAAACCACGCACTGCAGGCTAGCATTAAAGAGAGCCCCTCCCTTTACAAAAGGAATCACCGCTTCGTCGCCGGGGCTCTAATCTACTCTGTGGCTGCTAATAGCAAGGTAGCAGAGTCTGCTGGGCACACAATCAAGCCTGTAATTCATCCAAGGGCAAGGAGGCAGCCAATGGGAGAGGTCCCTGGCTACGCCCTGTGGTATTTGTCACAGGTGTTTGCAGGTCCGACACTGCTGGGGGGGGGCATAAGAACATGGAAAAGGTGGGTGATGTGGGCGTGGTCCGACACTGCTGGGGGGGGGCATAAGAACATGGAGCAAAACCCTGGCATGGAAGGAAACGCAGCGACAAGGTTGAGGTTCTGGGAACTTCCTGTCGGCTTCCCATTACATTTTATTTATCTGGCAGAAGCTGAGGAATGATCAGCGATCAGAGAGAGGACAGCTTGGGGTCAGACAGCGGAGTCAGCCAATGGCCCTGAAGCAGTTGAGGGTAAAGGCCTTGTGGTACCATTACTCTGTTGGGCACAGGGTTTGAACCCACAACCTTCTGGACCTGGCCACTAAGCCACAGAGCTAAGCAGGGCGCGAAGAGGGTGTCAAACCAGTGCAGGCTAAAACCGTGGCTAATCACAGACTAACATCGTCTGCGCTCCGAGCTCATAGGCAGCTGATTATTAACGGCATGACCCGAGAGACGTGTACCAAGCTCTAAACGTGTCATCATGACCTCCATTAGCAGCTCCGCCCACTCAGCCTCGGCATCGATGCCCCACCCCCACGGACCTGCCCTTGCTGAGCGCCTCATATGCCAATTAAAGTCACCGTGGGAACCAGCCGCCGTCCCACCACCCAACATTAGTCACCCCTGGCACCAAACTGTCACTGGAATGACGTGACACTGGGAGACCCAGCGGGAATGTGAGGGGAGAGCGCCCCCCCCCACTGGCTTCGCGGTTGCTCCACTCCTGTTTTCAGATTAACAGCAAATTTCCTCCCAAGTCCCAGTCAAGCAAAGAGCAAATTAAACAAACAAATGCATTTTCCCCCGACCATCTAAGAAGAGCAGGTTAAAAAGATGAACTTTGGCATGAAGCCATTTCCCTCGTGCCGGGAAAGTTCCTCGATTTCTCCCCACTTTCACGTCCTGAAGGAGGAAAGGAGCTCTCATCTACCCAACGCTCTCATCACCTGCTAATGATTTCGCATCCTGACATTTACATCACTTTTCCGTTACAGTTTCAGCCTTTCTAAGTACGTCTCTCATACTGTAAGGTTCCACACTACCAAGCTGCTGCCATGTCTGATTTGTTTTTCGTTCACCTCTGTTGGCAGATGTCATGCAGATGTCTGATTGCCCCCGAGTCCCCGGAATTACAGAGTGGCGTCCGCAGTGTGTGTGCGCAGAAGAATCGGACCTGGAGGCCCTGCCGGGATCCTCGGGGGGTGTAAATGTCCCCCCACTTCGAGGGCAAGATCAGTGTCAAATCTGAGAATGTCCTCGTTTTCATTTCCGTATGGGAGTTCCCACACAATCAGATTGAGTTCAGAATAAAAAGCAGACTCAAAGGTACCACAGAAGTGTCTGTCTCGAGATTCCAGCTCCTTGTTACTGCGATTCAACCGCTACTTGTGACTGCGCAAACCTCTCACGGAAGGATGATGAATGAAAGGCGGTGGAGGTCACCTGACCTGGAAGCAGTCGCGATAATTTCCAGGCCGCACTCCCAAACTGTAGCGGATGAGGGGCAGCTACTCGCACAACACCCCCCGGCCTTAGTTAACCCTCTCATTTACTGATTGAAAGCTCCGTGTCATGGGCATTAATTAGCACGACGAGTAAAATCACCTGAGGAGACAGGCCAAGCGTGAAGGAAGGTGGAAGGAACAGATGAAGCAG